AGCGACCGGGTTGTATCCGATGCCCCCACAATGCGACGCTGTAACTCCTCGCCCTGGAAAGCACTCTGCAGGAACTCAAACTCTGCCAAGTAAGGCTCCCAGCTCGGGTCCAACCCCGCCATGAACTTGCTCATATCGGCAGGCGCCAGACTTTGCCTCTCCTGACTAGACAGTTGTTTCAGGCCTTGGAATCGCCCTCATGCAAACAGTGGCTGATGTAAGCTGCTGCCTCCTGCCGACTCGATTCGATGTAGTCGTGGCTGCATGCCGAGCCAAGCAGCTCTAGCAACCGTGCATAATGCGAGGGCGCCAACGTTTGCCTGGGATGCACTGGGTGTTTGATTTATCGAATGTTCTGATGGAGGTCGAGAAGACATACAAAGGATAAACATTGTTTCGGATGCGACGAGGCAGCAACGGTCTCCCTTGCCAGGATTTGTCTATGCGAAGACTGTGAAGATCGTCTGATCGTCTACTGTCAGCCCAATCTCGAGCTGAAAACGTTGCCGCGGCCGCAGAACCGAAGCAGGAAGCTGGTGAGCCTGCCAGGGCAGGACACTGTAAAGATGCTGCTTTCAGAACCACTTGTGCCCATAGAGCCAGGCCTTCACCGGCTGGCTCCGGGCTTTGTCCTGGAGCGGCAGCAGCTGGGCTTGGTCATGACATGGACTACATGGGGGCTGCGATGGGCTACGAAGGTCTAGGCATGGCCTCAAAAAATGTAAAGACACATCCCCACGTCGGCCCACAACCCACCAAACACAGCGAGCTCGCAGAGGCACCCCATCCTATCGTTTCCCATGCCCATACGGCCAGGCCTTCATGGCTGGTCCAGGGCTTTGTCCCGTTCGGCCTGGTCACGATATGGCAGCGGTGAATGGTCACAGCAGATGCATGGCTGGAACACCCTGCCAGCCTCCATCGGGTGTGGGTCCGCTGGGCAGTTGTCTCTTCAGCCTCAGACCATGCCGACGAAGCCCCAGATACCCCAAACCCGCCAAAACCGCTGGCCTCGCAACCAATGCAAGTTTCACCTCGCTCGCTCACGATCACTCACGTCTCCTGGACCTGCTTCTCGCAGACCTGGGAGGCGACTTCATGTCGCATAGGAGCGTCCAGAGCAGACCAGTGTGCCTGCATCGAACCTGGATGGAGACGGAGACCCCAGACTGTTTCGGTGTGACGGCTTTGGCGTAGCCGGCAAGGAGATCGAGGGGTGCGTGTAGGCGGACGACAAGGATCTGAATCTGCTGCTGTCCTCATTCTCCTCTCCATCGGCAGGCATCTTCAAGAGGAAACGGCACGAGAGCTCGTGAGGCATGCTCGGCAAGACGTATGCTAATGATTTTCACATCCGGCGCCGCGGGTTTGCATTCCGAGGCCTTGGCATCCGTCTCCACGGGTTTGCATTCCGAGGCCTTGGTGCAGCAATGCGAACGAATGACAGCACTCTGGATCGAGGGCAAAGAACCGGGTCTTCCAACAAGACCACAGACCGAGGCAGTTCACCCCAACGCAAGCACAGAAGCACATTCCACTTTTCTTGCAACGACTACCGGCAAAAAACGAAGAATCTTCGCTCAAGCTGTTTAGCAGCGAGAACAAGTCGATTGCATGGAGCGACCTATGCAGTAGAGCCCAATCTTACTTCGACATCACTTTGGGAGGATAAAACTGCAATCATGTACAGCTACGACTGTCTGTGATGTCCTGTCCGACCTGCTCCCGCAAAAAGCGGTTGTTCTCGAGAGGCTCCGACCCTTCGCACAAACAGTGGACGAGCTGGCGCCGCCGTTGTTACCATTTTAGTGACGTCATATATGGTCCTACGAGCTTTACTCAAGTTGGCAAGCACACGTACCCAAGAAATAGCAACAACTGATTGGGGGTCAAACAACGTACAAAAAACCCGACGCCACGGCAAACAAAAAAGGAGACACAATCTCGAGCAATTCCGAGTTGACAACTCGTTTGTTGCATCACAGTTTGCTTATCTAAATTCAATACGCTTCTGGGATAAGGTTTATGGAATAGGCTTGGACGTATAGGGGAGAACATGCTTGTGCAGTCGGTGTTTTTGTCTGAGCGTTTGGTGCGCGCGGAGTGTGCGTACAGTGCGCGCGGTGCGTGCATACACATGCTGCAGGGCGCGCGATCCGTGCGTACAGGGGGCGCGGCGTGCGTGCGCAGTGCGCGCGGCATGTGCGTACAGTGCGCGCGGTGTGTGCGGACAGTGTACGCGGTGTGTGCGTACAGTGTGCGCCGTGTGTACGTACGGTGCGCCCAGTGTGCGTACGGTGCGCGCGGTGTGTGCGTACAGTACGTGCGCACGCACCGCGCGCACTGCACGTGCGCATTGCGCGCACTGGTGCATGCGCACGTACTGTACGCACACCGCGAGCACCGCACGCACACACGGCGCACACTGTACGCGCACACCGCGCACACTGTAGCCCAGATCGCGCGCATAGCGGAGCCAACATTTCAGCCTCTCGAACTTCTTCCCCTTGCTGGTCGAGGCTTGGGATCGGCGTCGGGTTCGAAGGCGCACAAAAAGCTCCAAAATGTACCAAGGAAGCCGCTGTGCCTCGGTCTCTCCATGAGCGACTGCCTGCTGCTACGGAGCCCCTGCCTCATCGCCTGGGCGGAACTTAACTTTATGTGCAGCTCGAGCATTCGGGCTGCAGGTGCACCCTGCTGCGGCGTATCGACGACCTGGAAGCACGCACGGCGGCTCAGCGAGTAAAGGTCGACGCTCACGAGGCAGGACATAGATGTGCTTAGAACTGGCACAAGCACCAAGCCACATCGGAGTCGTAAGCTCCGGAGATACAGCTCGCACGTGCCATGGCAACTTGGCAGGCACGTTTCGGAGCTTTCTCGGAGCGCTTGGAGGCCAATTCAGCTCGGTAGAATTACGAGCGGCGCAGCTCTAAAGCTTCATCCCTCTTCGCTGCCGTTCCACAGGGCTTACCTACATTACGGCCGTTCACCTCATCCAAGTCTAAGCGGACCGAAATACATGCGTGCAGATTTGTTGCATCCTTCCTGCGAGAAATGGGTAGCAGGGTGATGTTCCGACGACCACAGCATCCTCAACATTGCCCCCTCGCACTTTCTAATGCTCTGTGCTCTTACTTTCAGAAGCTTGTTCACAAAAAACCCAAACTTTAAATCCTAAACCTTAAACCAAAAAATTAATGGCGTCCGCGGAATTTGGCAGGTGAGACAACTGCTTGGCCAGGAAGTTTAGTATATCGGTATTTCGTTGCATTACCTCTTTTGAATCGGGGCAAGAAATGCTAGATATGTTCAGGGTTTCGGAGATGCAACTTGTTGTCTTGTCGGCAATATGCCTCTCCTCTACTCCGTTTGGCATTCGGAGTTTCTCGCATTTTCTTGTGAGGCCGCCTGCCAAGAGGCCGTTGCTCAGGCCCGGACGGTGGCGCAGCAGCGGCGGGACGAGCTCCTGAAAGAGGTGGGCGCAGTCACGGCCCGCCATTTTGCCAGCTTCGCGCAGGTCGCAACATGTCGAGACTCAACAAGAAAGTAAAACAGAGCCGACCCCCAGACAAGTAATTTCCGGCCACCCAACCATCGGAAGCAGCGACCATGAACGTGTGCCACAAGATCACACTCATAGCCTTGACGTGAGACCCGCCCGAAGCAACAAACCACAGCTATGCGGAGGTTTTGGATTGCTGGTAAACCTTGACTGATTGCAACGCGAAGCATCGATTCTGGTCATGCTCTGCACTCACAAAGACTGCAGGTGGACTGCCAACTGCGAGTTCTGAGAAAGCGGATGGACTCCCTCACCGACTTGAGTGACGAGCTCATGTTCAAGGTCGGGAGCAGAGCAATGCAGCCAAAACAGTGCCAAACCGGTGGAACTGTTTCAACACTTTGAGCCGGGCTGCTGCGCATGAGTCGTCGTGATTTCTCGTACACCGCTGCGAAGTGGGATGATTTGTTCCAGAGAGCTCAGAGTGCTGGAAATGCTTCGAGGGGTATATGTCTCCAGAATTAGCTGGCTTGCACCTCAACTTTGCCTACGGGCTGTGGCCACTCGGAAGGCTGGTGCTCAATGCGCGGCCGGTGCAGGCTCGAAAGCTTGAAAGCCGTGCAGGCATGGGATAATGCCCGCCGGTCCTCTTGTGCCTAAGGTTCTCACGTGGACTTCAGCTCGAATGACATGAGAGGAAAGCTGCCGAGCTTGACAGAAGAAGTTGGCCGGTAGTAATGAAACAGATTGAAGTGATTGAAGCGCGTCGAGGCCGACACGTTCAATAAGGATGCTGCTGGTCGCATGCAATATGCAGCTGGCCTTGCAACTGCTCTTGGCATCTCGCAAGCTGACAAGGCTAAAATGTCTTGTGGCTCGAGCGGTGAAGCCCAAAAATCTGGCTCGCCGTACGCCATTGATGCCAAAACTGTATCTTGCGTCATGAGGGTTCAATTGTGATGTCCATCGCGACGGACTCTGCAGCAGGGACCCGAAACCTACAGAGCTCGGAGGTCTCATGTTACAACCCGATAAACCATATCATGGACAACCTCCAATGCTCATCAACTGATCTTCGTGTTCCGCCTGGCGCACAGCGCTGGCGTGCATGCTGTACATTTAGACGGACTGACTTGGTTCTGTGTCCTGGAAAGCAGCTACACCCGTTGCGATGATACCGGATGGATATAAGAGTCTGGACATGCCATGGACAGTCATTTCAAGCAAGCCTCTCAGCTTTTGGGCATCAGGTGCGAGGTAAACACCTGTCATGAGTCGATGGAACTTAAAGCCACTGTTGTAATCGTTTCTGACTATACTGCAGCAACGCCTTTCGAGGACATACCAGTAAGACATGAGCAATGCAGGAGCGGAGCACCCGCGTCTGATTGTGGAGATTGAGTTCCGAGTACAAAAGGTCATGTAGGTGTTCGCACAATCTTGCGTTCAACTGGAGGATTCATTGATTAGTCGATGGCTACGTACATGTGGCCAGGAAGAGGCGGGTCCCGATGGGTTCAAATACCTCCTCTCTATGAAGCTCTGGTCCCTCACAGAGAACAAGGTCGAGGAGGGACCAGCACAACACTCCTCGCCCTGAGCATGATGTTGGGCAGAGCCGCAGGAGTTGCGGAGACTCCATGGTCAGAAGGATGCGGCCCTCCATGAGCTTCGAGGCATACATGCTTCCGTGCTTTAGTGGTGATATGTGGCGATGCTTTAAGATGCAAGGAACCAGCATCGAAGCTCTCTGGGAAGCGGACTTGCAGCGTCCGGAGCTTAGGCGGAAGGGTAGGACTCGGTTCGAGAAGAAGACATCAAGGTTTGGAGCATGCCCTAGACGAATGCGATGAGAAGGATCGCAAAGAAGCAGAGGCCACTAGTGGCATAGTGCAGGTTGCGCCGGAGAGGGGATGTCTTGAGGAAGCCCTGTGCGGGTATTTGAGATTGAGTGACCTCGCAGATGGAAGGTGTCTGACCTTTGTGCAAATTATACCCGAAGCGCAGTGTGAAGGATTCTACTGTGTGGAATTTCTCTTGTGTGATTTAACCTGCAAAGCAAACCACTGCACAAGCAAGACATGAACCAGGCACCGAGGCCTGACAAGTGCTATAAAGTGCAGAGGAGTGGCAATTTATGTGACATGTAGAATGCCATCGCCAGGCAGCAGAGAGGCTGGCCGCGAAGAATATGTCCGATGAGAGTTTTCTGGTCAACAAGTCGCGGACTCAGAGAATACGCAATGTGGACTTTGCCTTCCGAAGCAAAGCATCCTAAATCTTCCTTCGCACAGCTTGCGAAGCTTGCGAAGCTTGCATGCGAGCGACAGTACAGGCAGTGCGTGCTGGTGCTGGGCCGCAACTTCACCGCAAAGCGAGTTCGAACGAGTGAGTGGAAGGCCACGCAGGGAAGCTGAAACGGATTTAGTCTGCATCGGAGTCATGAACATGCAGCATGCATATACGATGTGGGGCCGAGTCTCTGGCGGTGCAACGGACAAACTCTGTTGCCAACTTTTCTGCGGCGTCTCAAATCTCTGCAGTGTCAAAGCCCAGGGCGCATGCAGAAGCACTGCGTTTCAGGTAGGCCGTCGGGGTGGTGGCTTCAGTTCGAAGCGCCTGGTGAGCAAGGCCTGAGGACCAGAGTCGTGATCAGCCGTTTGTCGACACCAAAACCTGAACCCTTTGACTACACTTCATTCTTACAATGCGTCCCCTCCTTCGTTTGCCACATGCGGCGTCTGCTTCGCGACCTTCATGGCTATACTGCGAGGCGAAGAAGGGCAAGGACGACGATGCAGATGCAGAGGATCTCCTGAGACTTCCACGCTCATGCAAGATTTCGCTCACATGGAAAGTTTAAACTATGACATTATCATATACTGTTATATTAATGTTGTATGTTATCATGGATACTGTGGTGGCTTGGGTCGATATGCAGCAATGCGCGTTAGCCACTACATGCCACTACGAAGGAAGATGCAGACGATGCAGAGGACTGGCTGTTCACTACCTCTGACCTGCCAATCTTCTGCAACGATGTGCATCCTCGAAGCAGTGCAGGGGTTTGATATTGACATGGTTTGTCTTGCAGCTTCAGATAGCTTCAGTCGCAGAGGCGTCGCAGCCTGATGAACCGAAGCTGCGTTTAAGCATGGTTGTGGCGGTGGTGCTACGGCTGCTTTCTGCTTCTGCGGTCCCGATGCGCAAAGCTTCAGTGGCGTAGGGAGTGGCTCGCCGTGAAGGCCCACCCGGACAGTGGTCCCTAAAATTCAGTGGCGAGTTCAGAGGTAGGCGTGCATCAGGCTCAGGAGTGGTCGCACCTCACTTCAGATTTCTCACTCGGGTCACTTATCATGTGCCATTACTTTGAGCTTATGTTAGTCACGTTAGTCACGTTAGTCCCACGCCTTCTCGGGTTTAGGATTCAACATGGGTCTCCATGAAAGCTTTGCGTTCGCGTGACAAGACCACTAACGTGGTGGAGCCCAACCGAAACCAGTTCTGTGCACTGGGCGACGGCAACTTTGCCCTGTGACGTTTCAGGACCAGCACATAGTCGGGCGGGGGCCCACGGCAAGCAACGCAATCATTCGTGGAGCAAGTTGCGACATGCAAGCGGACTGGTTCCACAAAATTCTTCTGGAACAAGCTGACTTAAGTTTGAAAGTGTTTTCACGCAAGAGTGTGCTTGACTTCGGATGCAGGAACCGACTGAAGGAGCCCAGCTCTTACTTCGGCCAATGACTTTTGATAGGGTGTTCTTGGTACTAGCACGGGAAGGAAATGATCTTTGGACATGTCGATTCCAGTGCGTCCCAGAGAGGCAAGCTGCTATTGCAAGATTTGCAAGTTCCAGAAGGAGCTCGGAGTGGCAAACCCTGGCTAACCATGGCGTGGGAAGCCGCAAACCGACACAAAGCACCCGTATCCTGGAAAGCTCTTGCATCTGCAACCCCGAAGACTTACGGGTTGCCACGCGACGCTTTTGTAACGAGCGTCGAAGACTAAAAATTGATGATTGAAATTCAGGAAACCATGCGAACCCTTTTTTGCAACCAAGGCCCTTTCTGCAGTCTTCTGCTGTCTGGCACACAGCCTGCTGATTGATTCACGCAGAGCGTTGTGTTAGGCTTGGAAGGCATGCGATGCGCGTGGACGAAGTTTTGAAGGGCGGACTCGTCGTCGTCGTCGTCCTCGTCCTGGTCAGCATATTAGCTTATTGAGGAGAACCGTTCGGACTATCAGTGTTACTGCTCTTCGTCTTCTTGTGATTACCATTCTGATTTATCTTACTATTATTCTGATTATTTGTATAATTGCTATTATCGAGATTATTCTTCTTCTTATTATTTCTGTTATCTTTAGTATCATTATGTTAACTGATTACTCTTATTATTAGTGTTATTGTTATCATTAGTACAGCAGAAGTCGTAGTCGTAGCAGCAGCAGTAGCAGTAGTAGCAATAGTAGTAGTAATAGTAGTAGTAGTAGTAGTAGTAGTAGTAATAATAGTAATAGGAGTAGTAGTAGTAGTAGTAGTAGTAGTAGGAGTAGGAGTAGGAGTAGGAGTAGGAGTAGGAGTAGGAGTAGGAGTA